TAAAATAATATATTTATTTAATGAACCATGAAACTCTTCCTTCTTTTCCAAATTCTATTTAAGGTTCCCGGTCCCACAAATATTATCCATTTGGCACGCTGCATGCCGGCGCCAGCTGGATAATTAGTAAAAATAAAAATAAAAATAACTGAACGAGTCACGCAAACGAACTTCAATGCACGTGCTCCTCCCCATCTCAAAACCCGTTATTGCTCCGCTAATGCCACGTGGCTTCACCTCTCTCCGCCCCCTTCTAATTCTCTGGACCCTCTGCTTCACTGCACCTACTCTTCCATTTCATTCTATTCCACCCCTTTACCAAGAAAATCACCACCACCGACCGCCATGAAGTCCTCCGCCGCCGCTACCACCACCGCCACCACCACTGCCACCACCACGACTACATCAAATGTGACGGATTTCCTCAAAGCTCCAAAGTTCGTCAAAGTTACTGCCGTTGCTCTACTCTCCATCTCCCTTGTATTCATTTTCAGTCGTTTCTCCTCTTCTTCCTTCCCTTTTTCTTCCCCCACGCTGTTACTCTCATCATCTTCCTCCTCCCCTATCTCTACCACTCTCTCTGTCCCTCTGGAGATCTTGTCTCCTCATTCTCTGCCAGCGCCACGTCCACCGCCTCCTCCTCCTCCTCCTCCTCCTCCACCGCCTCAACCTGCGGTGCAAAGGACGGGAATAGTCGATGAGAGTGGAGCAATGTCGGACAACTTCTTGATTGGGGAGTTGGACTCAAACTCTACTACTTTTACCGATGTGTTGAGTGACACGGAACAGGAAGGGAGGGAAAAGGAGAAGAGTGTTCCTGAAGTCAGGATTAGGATTGTGAAATACGAGTCATGTGATGCGAGCAAGATGGACTATATACCCTGTTTGGACAATGAGGAGGCGATTAAGGAGTTGAATGACAACACCAGAGGGCAAAAGTACGAGCGGCATTGTCCCGGGGAAGGCAACGCGTTGAATTGCTTGGTGCCAAGGCCGGAAGGGTACCGGATTCCCATTCGATGGCCACAGAGTCGAGACGAGGTAAATCCATGTGAAATTCCGTGTATCGTGTACTGTTTGCTTTTCATCTTTGAAATTGTTATTGATTTATGATAATGTTGAAGTCTAAGAGTATACTACTAAGATGAGGGCAAATTATATGAAGAAATTGATTTTGCCCTTCAAAAATTGTGCACAATACTGGGGTCGTTCATTATCTTTATGAGCTGGTCAAACAAACCCTTTACAGGCCTCGTTAGATCTATAGAATAATGCCAACTAATTACAATTTAGAAACTTGAATGCTGTTTTATAGCAAATTCATGTTTAAAAATTTGCAACTTTGTTTTGGGCTAACATTGCATATTAAGACAGGTGTGGTTCAGCAATGTTCCCCATACCCGACTTGTTGAAGATAAAGGTGGGCAGAACTGGATCTCAATAAAAGATGATAAGTTCATTTTCCCTGGAGGTGGTACACAATTTATTCATGGGGCAGATCAATATTTGGATCAAATTTCAAAGGTGTTTGCTTTCAGAACATCTACTTGGTATTTGGCTTGTCTTTTTATGTTACTAATGGCCATCTTGACCATATAGATGGTTCCTGACATTGCTTTTGGACACCGCACTCGGGTTGCTTTAGACATTGGTTGTGGAGTAGCAAGTTTTGGTGCATTTCTGCTACAACGCAATGTCATCACTATGTCAATAGCACCAAAAGACATTCATGAGAACCAAATACAGTTTGCACTAGAGCGTGGAGTACCTGCTATGGTTGCAGTGTTTTCCACACACCGCTTATTGTATCCAAGTCAGGCATTTGACTTAATGCATTGCTCAAGATGTAGAATTAATTGGACTCGTGATGGTAATCCCTTTTCCTTATATATATATATATATATATATATCATATATTGCATGACCTAAAATTTTTCATAATTAGGTCTTATTATCAGAGTCAAGCCACACTAGTTTCTTAGAAATAATTGTCATTTATAGCCGGATAAAGATGGTAACAATCTGAGTTGGGAAGAGGTTGTTGGAACATGTCCCTTTTACTTATTTATTCTTCTTCTGAGAGGTTCTTGTTTGTTTGTTGCTGTGCCAGAGTGCACTCCATGTGCTCAGGGGGAGAAGGTTGGGTGTATAGAAATTCCATATCATCAGATATGTGGAGTAATCATGTGGCTTAATAATCTAGTCTCTTGGTTAAGGCCTAGAATGTTTGTACATGCTCATGTGTATATGAACTGATTTGGGTTGAGTTGAGTCATTATCTATGTATCTATTTTCAAATATTTTGTGCATGGTATCTATAACTCTCTGATGTTGATATTTTGTCTCTGCTCCACTGATGATAAAGATGGAATGTTGCTCCTTGAGGCCAATAGGATGCTAAGGGCTGGAGGATATTTTGCATGGGCAGCACAGCCAGTGTATAAGCATGAAGAGAATCTACAAGAGCAATGGAAAGGTAGCCCATAATTTGAACTTGTGAAGTTTGTTTTAACAATTTTTTTGTTCAATATTTTATGGAGTTAAAATATGAGCTTCATGTATTGTATTTTTGTCTGGTTTGACATAACAAAGAAAAATTCTGTTGTTTGATTTTGCCTGTGTAAGAACATGGTCTATTCTCCCTATCTTCCATTTTCATAAATCATAAATACCATGACTGGTGTCTTTTTTCATATCCTCTAAGGCAGCAGCATTTTAAAACAACTTTACCTTTCAATTGCTCAGTTTCATTCCTATGTCGATTTTTTACTTGCAGAAATGGAAGACCTTACTAGGCGCATTTGTTGGGAACTTGTAAGGAAGGAGGGGTATATTGCCATATGGCAGAAGCCTTTAAACAATAGCTGCTATCTTAATCGTGATACTGGAGTGCAACCTCCTCTATGTGATTCCAGTGATGATCCAGATAATGTTTGGTATATTCTGCTCTATCTTTTGGATTATTAATATTATGATTAAAATGATGTGTAATTAGCACTAACAATGTTCTGCGAACATCTTTAATATGTTCAGTACTGGAAAAATCTGTGGGGAATTTTTATCCCGCATTTTTCTGTCAAAGCTTCTTCTCCATACCACAGTTTTATTCTTCCAGATTTATTGAAGTATCAAGAACCTGGTTAGAATTTGGTAGCACCCATTGCTTCCATCAATTCTGTTTTTGTTCTCAGTGCAGAAAACCTGCATGATGTTGTATTTGACTACCATTGTCAAAATGAAAAACTCCTGCAGTTCAGTGGCTCAGAGTATAGAAGATCTTATTATCATTACCAATTACCCTTCTTTATGCACATAATTGTTATTATTTAAAGAAAATGAATTGTGGAAATGCTTCATGATAATATGTACAATAGAATAGGAAAGAAGAACTACATTGCTTATAATTCTGGCAATTAAGAAGAAGATCGAGAAGGGGCCAGATCTTAAGTATAAGATTTCTTTGTAGCTGTATGAAGCTTCTAAGTAAAAACGGTGCTGGAAGGGGAAAGGAATAAGTTGATTTAAGGCTTAACTGATAACGCTTATAATGTCCTATTAAAATGGATCTAAAGAATGCCAAATCTACAACTTTTGCAGGGATGTTAGTTTGAGGGCTTGCATTACTCGATTGCCCGAGAATGGTTATGGATCTAATGTTAGCACATGGCCCACACGACTTTATTATCCACCAGATAGGCTTCAGAGCATAGAAATGGATGCTACCATCTCAAGAAAAGAAATCTTCAGAGCAGAATCTAAGTACTGGCATGAAATAATGGACAGCTACATAGGTGTTTTCCATTGGAAAGAGATGAAACTACGCAATGTGATGGACATGAGAGCTGGATTTGGAGGGTAACATCATGTCTTGTTATATCCATCATTCTTTTGCAAGTTAATTAGACACTTCTAAAGCCTTCTCTAATTTCAATATGCTTTTATAAGGGAAAAAATTAAGAAGAGAGGAAAACCAATATACAATGCTGTAGCAATTTGAAAATTTGGTCCTTTTGCCCGTGGCAGGTTTGCAGCTGCATTGTATGATCTTCAAGTTGATTGCTGGGTTATGAACGTGGTCCCTGTTAGTGGATTCAATACCCTGCCAGTTATCTATGACCGGGGACTTATAGGAGTTATGCATGACTGGTAAATAGTTTTACTGCTAATCATCCCATATTGATCACTTTTTCAAACATCTGTTATGACTGGATGGCCTCTGATTGCTAAATTGCTATGAAAACAAATTAATAGGAGACTTATAATGTTGATAGATTTATTAGTCAAGAGCTTGAGGAGTCAATCATTTTTTCTCTTCCAGGTGTGAGCCCTTTGATACCTACCCAAGAACTTATGACCTATTGCACGCCTCTGGTCTCTTCTCTGTTGAGCAGAAGAGGTAAAAGTCATGCTTGTTCTTATATTTATCCTAGCATCTATCAATAAATTAATACCATTACACTAGAGATTGAATGCTGGTTTAATGACTTTTTGGTGTAGATGCAATATCTCAACAATCATGCTTGAGATGGACCGAATGCTAAGACCTGGTGGACATGTTTATATACGGGATTCAGTATCAGTTATGGGTGAACTTCAAGAATTAGCAGCTGCAGTGGGATGGGTAGCTTTGCTACTTGACACAGGTGAAGGTCCCCATGCAAGCTGGAAAATTTTGGTTTCTGAGAAACGTATGTAATGAGCTTTGCAAGTCTTATTATGGAGATACCTGAAACCTCAGCAAGAAAGTTGTCCCTACTAATTCTTTACTATTCAAATGTAATCTACCTTCGTAAGGTAGTCAAGCATGCTATGCTAAGTCGCTAACAGGAATTCCTTTCATTTTCTTTGTCATTAAAATGTAATCTACCTTTCCAATCTTGTTCTTATTGTAACATGTACATTAAGGAGCAGAAGCTTTGTACAATTTAAACTCTGAAAAAGAAGAATGCTTTCCGTTCTTCCCTTCATTTTCTTAGTCTTACTTAAAATAAGATCATTGAAAAAAAAAATGAATGGAAAAAAAATCCTTTTAACTGCAAGAAACGTCACACTAATAAGACTTTGCTACCAGCTGCCAACAATAGTATTAACATTTAACATCCACCATATCAAATCCCATACAAACTTCTTTTCCCTCAAAATCAAAGCTGGAGGTTAGTAAATTGAACAAAATGAGATGAAAAGACGCCCCAGAACACGGGCGCTGCGTACTACAAATGAAGAACTCTTGACAAATCAAATGAAGAATGATCCTTCACTCTCATGTACACACACACCATGGAAACTGCATTTGATTATGACTTCGTGGAAGAATCCTTATGAACTGCAGTATTAACCTGTTTGGCGAGGTAAGCTTCATAAATTTCAACCACAAGTCTAGGCTCCTTTTCCACGAGTTCCATATACTCTTCCCGTTTGGTAAGCTTGTCCATGTTGTCTGTTATCAGCGATAAAGCTGCATCAACCACAAGCTTTGCATTCTGCTGGTGTGCAAAGGCATAGCTCATAACTGAATTGTCCCAGTTCAATTTAGACACAAGAAACTTCTCACAGTAGGCCTTGAGATGCTTCACCTGATACTTTTCTGCCAAAACTAGAAGGTCATACGCCATTGGCTCATCAAGCACAGCTTCAGCAGTATACAAATAGTTGATAAAGGCACGGAGGGCCTCATACGATACATCACTGATCTTGATGGTACCGCTTCGTGACTCTTCCATCTCATTCTCAAGCATTGCTTTGAACACAGGGGAACGACTCACCTGTTCCACAAGAAGATCTCATGAAAGATTCTAAAGAAACAAATACCATTACCCCATCAACAGGTTTTCCAATCCAGGTATAAACTGCACCTGGAATGAGTTGAATGCAATTGCAAATTAATTAGGCATGTGTAATGTTACCACTGCTTCTTAGAATGAAGATGTTCAAAAAAGAATTTGAAGGCAGAGCACAAACAGCAAAGTAGCCAAATTTATGAATTACTCAAAGAAAAGAATTAATTTGGCAAATTAGCCAATTGGGTATTGTAATAATCTTATGATCTAAGCTCAAGTGAACACAAATAACAGGTAACAGCAATGGCTACTGACCAAAACCGCTTTATGGGCGGGGATGGGAATTGGGGGCAAATCCTTGGGTCCATCAGAGGCAAGCAAAACAACGTCAGTGTAGGGGAGACCAGGCACGGTGGTGCTCCGGTGGTTGTGATCAAGAGGAGACCAAAAGCGGAGGAAAGCGACTTTGGCTTTGAGATCTTCGATCTCTCGCTTGAGCTCCTCCTCGGTTTCGCTGGCCTCCTCGTAGCACTCCTTGCAGGTTCCGGCATCATTCGAGTCGTACTCCTCCCTGCACGATAAGCACTTCATATCGGGCTCGATCTTACCTCTTTCAGTGACGCCGGCGCGTAACTGATCTGCTCCGCCGACTGACTGACACCTGTGCGTTTAGCACTTTCTCTTCTTTCAGTGAAGTTGCTGTTACTTTAAAAAGAAAAAAGACAAAATTATTTTCTGATAGGCTGAAGCAGAACCGGACCGGTTTGACCGATTTCTGTAGCCCTGGAGGAAACTGCCACCTGTTAGTTTCTCACCGCCGGCTACCGGGACTGCTTCAAAGAAAAAAAAAGGCAGACGGCGGAAAGATTCCCGTCTTCCTAATTTAAAACAGGAGGATGGTAACAGTTTCAGAACCTGAGGAACTCAAAACCAAGATTTTTAGTATTTACACGGCTCAGTAAGCATCTTCCATTTCTGTTAACTAATCTGATATTTTTCTTGAAAATTTGTTTATGTAATGCTCTGTTTGGTTGCCTAGAAAACATGGGAAAAGTGACAGAAACGGAAGCTTTCTGATATTGAGTTGTTTAAGCATGAAATGAGAAAAGGTACTGTGTATTTTGAGTCTTGCTCTTGAATTAGTAGATTGTTACAGCTCTTGGTTGTCTGAGTAACCAGATCAGCAGGAGGGTTTTACATTCAGAGATGAATTTTCTTTTCGTTTTTTGGATTTCCTCTGTTCTCAATGCCGGTTTTTTCCGTTAACATGTTTATATTTTAGTTGGTTGATTTTGGTTAATATTTGAAGTAGCTATGTGAAAATTTATGCGTGTCTTGAATCTTTTGGAATGTGGGATCTTAATCAAACTCTGATATGAATTGCTTGAAAAATTAGGTTTCATTTTTGTGCATTGGGGGAATGGGTGTTGATGAGGGGACTAGCAAGGGTGGAGGTGTGGAGTGTTGTGAGCAAGGATCACACTCCAAAAGGGGGGCAGTGAATGACATTATACA